CATGTCATGTGAATTTTCTGCATCAATGTATTTGGTAGGGGAAGTTGATGGTGAGGATACCTCTGCGCTTTCTGGTAATATTGTACTATGTGTCTGCAGTATAGAACATTTTGTTCTCAAAAGTTTTCTATTAGGGATTTCAACACTGCATTTAAGATACTGTGTGCTGACCTCTCTCGTGTTGTAGGTGTAATTCAGTGCACAGACATCAGGTGTGCACTGTCTTATGCCTGGAACACTGCTACCATATCAATAAGCAATGTAGCATGGAACTCTGGAATATTTTGATAGGAGCAGGAAGCAACTGATATGCTACCATTAATATGAATGATTGTACATTCTGGCTGGTAGATTTGCAGTTCATAATTTTTTGAAAAAATTTCATCATAAACGTTTGACACTAACTTGCATTCATAGGTTTCTGCGAGATATGGCCAGATCTCGATTACATCAGGTATCATAATGGACAAAGTGTAATCTGCACCTGCACCAGGTAAAGCAAAAAATGCCATTGTAGGTCCAAGTTCATTATTCAATGTTTTTCCTGAACTGATGTAAACATTACGACTCCACCACCTAACAGTCTGTTGGTCATTCATCTGGTCAACCATACATGGCAGAGATACATTTTGTCCAGGTACAGCTTCAATGATCAATCCTCTCACCATGCAAGTAGGCACATACAGTATGTACAAGAAAGCCATCCACAACCAGATATTATAGCTCATTATAGTTCTTGGTGGTCAAAATTCTGTGTTATACCTTTGAAAGAGATGCACTGTCTTCCTTGTTACTAGACTTTATTATCTTATGTCTTACTTAATCTCTGGTGATTAGCTTCGGATCATTCAAAATTGAATAGTGCCTTGCATATTGTGTGTTTCTCTTGCATACCTTGGAGTAAAATTAAATATAAACTTTTGTCACATATAGGTATTAACTGTCAATTGATCAACAACAAAGTAATTTCCTCACCAATTACACACATTGAGTTGCAGTTATTTACACAAATCAAATAATTTAGAAATGAATAATTTGTGGGGAGAAGATGGGGTGGGGAGAAGATGATGATTAGACTTTACTATAAAAGTCCTCAAACTATCAGCCAATTTAATAATGAACCATATAATGACTCGAGATTTAAAATTATAATCAGTATTTTGAATTACTTAATTTGTACATGTTAAGTAGGCTTTACTTGAAAACTGGTGAAAAAAAAATCACTGAACTATTACCAATCTAATGAATTTTTTTTTGTTGCACTTTTGTGAGTTTACAGGTACTTGGTGTACACCAAATAATCCAATCCAATTCTGTGGCCCTCTAGACCCCCTCACTGCCACTGGATGAAAAGTGTTAAAATCTACATTATAATTTGAATACTGAACCTTCATTATGCTTGTAAGTTATTAAAAAGTTAAATTGTTCTGGCCCATTTTTACTGTTACAAAATGTGTAACATGAGCTGTCAGTAGGGGTGCAATAAAATAAAAGTAATTTAGCATTTATATCAATCGTTTGCTATCAATACGTGCATACAATAATTGTAAAAAGTTGGGTTTTAGCTGGCTCTGAACAACTACATTTTGTCCTCTAGTACAAGACCATGTTTGGGAGCTGAAAATTTGTGATTGAAGATTGTTATTTGGTACTTTGAAAAATTGGTCTCAGAATAAAAGGGGTCTCGGGGAGGGGTCTCGAATTGGGGGTAATAATAAAAATTATTTACTGTACTTACATTTATTTTACTGTCTGTTACGAACAAATTCACATACTTCTGATTGTCTGAGAGTAATAATCATATTGTTATATTATTACTTCCTTGTTAAACCTTTTATGATAGCTAAAGGCCATGAAAAATACTTTTAATTTGTGCAATTTACCATATACTGTACTTCAATAGATGTCCGTTTATAAAGTTAAACGAGAATCATATGCTGACTTGATTTATACAAAGCAAAGTGATCTATGTGCTTGAGGGACTTTTTTATCCACTTCAAAATAATTTGAAATTTTTCATCAAATCAGAAAGATAGGACTTTTTTTATATATTTATTTCAGCTGAGATGAAAGGAGAGCAATGGATATGGGATGGAACTGGCAAAGGAGTTCCATGGTTCAGCATAAACACAGTGGCTACCACCAATTTTACCAAATGATCCATGATCTGCCACACACAAATTTTGATGTGGTGTTCTAATCTTATCTGGCCTTCATAATATTATTGACTCAGACTGACTTCCAAGTATAGCTACTATGATCCTGATCATAGTTGATATAATTGACATCATTCACAATTGATTCCATCTGGTGTGTTGCATCTGAAACCTTACAACTTTATGGAGGGCAGTGTTGTCATCCGTCTGTTGAAATGTTTGTATTGCTGTATTACTTTTCTGATAGACTTGATTGTGAAGATTTTGTGAGTTCTGAGATAGTGCAATATCAGTATAGACAGTTGGTTAGGCTTGGAGAAGGGAGTCCCACAAGATGGTTGATTGCCAATAAACATTGTTTGCAGCAACATTGTAGAGTGATTATTGGTATTGTTCACTCTGTTCTTGTAGAATCTGTAAAACTCAATAATAAAATACAATGAAGATCACAGTAGAAGTACATGCAGTTGCTATGGTTAGTTTCACCATGGTTATGAATCCTTGGCTCTCATGGTTTGAATCAGAACCAGTTTATAGTAGTATCTTCTTTCCAATTACTGAATGTAGTACAGTATGTGATTGCACAGGTACTTGTATAATATTAGTTGAGGTTATTAGTTCTGTTGATACTTAGGTTTGTGTGGTATATGTTGCAATTATGTGTCTGATTTTCTCAGAGACCCAGTGCTTGTGATACAACACACAACATCCTGTTATGTGAATTGGCTTCTCTTTGGTTGTATTGTAATTCTTTGAACAGACATCAGATGTGCAATCTCACATACTTTGAACACTACTGCCATCAATCAGCCATTTTACTTGGAACTCTGGTATATTTTGATAGGAGCATGAAGCAACTGATGTACTAACTTTAATATGGATGATTGAACATTCTGGCTGGTAAATTTGCAGTTCATAAATTTGTAATTTCTGGAAATCATTATCATCATTGTTTGACAACCTGTCATAAGTGTTATGGCCAGATATTTATAGTGATGTCATCAGGCATCATAATGAACTAACTGCAGTCTGCACCTGCACTAGGTATAGAAAAGAACTTCTTTGAAGCACCAAATAATTCAGATATTTCTATAACTGGTAGTTATTACGACTCCACCACATCACAGCCTGTTGGTCATTCACCTGGTCAACCGAACATGGCAGAGATACATTCTGTCCAGGAAGTGTATCAATGACTAATCCTCTAACTACACAAGTATTCCTGTCCAATATGTACAAGAGAGTCATAATCCAGAACCAGATATCAGGGGTCCCAAGTTGAAAGAAGTCAATTCCGGAAGCAGGGTGGGGAGCTCCACTTAATATCTCATCGGGGAAAAGCCACAATTTTTTGTACTTCAGTAATTTTAGTTGTCTTTTTTATATTTGATTGGCCAGTTTTTGGTGTTTTTTTTCTCGATTTTTATTGCGCAATATTTCTTTGCGAAATTACTCAATTAGCCATTGGCTACTATGTAAATTTTTGTTGTTGAACAAAATCCTTGAATTGTAAATTTGTCGGGGAGAAATAAATTACATGTACAGTAGAACCCCTCATTTACGTACGGCACGGGCCCAAAGAAATTCAAAATAATGTACAGTTCTATACATACTTGTTAATGTGTATAGAAACTTTATTCTCTCTTTCTCAGGCAATAATATATGACTTATCTTCTAGCTTACGAAGAAACACAGCCCCGCAGGCGCCGCAACAGGGCGAGTAATGCAACGACGTTTTTCACTCGATCCATGTGCTTGTGGCGTCAAGTAAATGTACAGAATAAACCAGGGGTTCACTTATTAAAAGAAGAGCGCTGATTGGCTGTAGACACGACGCTTGGACTTTTTTTTGTATGCAATACGATTGTTTTACGCCTACATTAACATTTATGAATGCAGTAATAAAGTTAAAAAGAAAATGTTGGTGTCATTGTCTTATTTTAGGGGGGAGTTAATGAAATGGTAGATTAACGTTAGTGAGATTTGATAAATAAAATCCATTTCTAATTAGTGGTTCATTAAATTACGATATGAGTGTGGTGTATTCAGAGATGTTTTGTTGTGTGTGTTGGGGCGGTGAGTGCTTTATGAGAGCAGGGAACAATGTTCCCTGATGAGAGATGGAGATTTTTCGTAATCCAGGCAATAAGCAAAATTTCTTTGGTAAATTTGGTGGGCCTGAAAAGGGCTGTTTGGTTTGGAATTTTATCATAATCCGATGGCTCAACCGAAAAAGTCGGAAATCCGTTTCTGTTGCAATGATGATAATCGCATCAATGAAGCCTCGTCTCTCCATCTTCTAACCTGTAATAGATGCATTGGGTCAACATTACCACGTTGTTGGAGCCATAACATTAGCGTCTCGGTGGCCTCGAATGCCTTTTCAGGTTTCACAATTGTCAGGCTTTCATCTTCGTCTTGACTTTCTTTATCACTCTGACTCTCTTCTTCCACCTGAGCTACCTGCATTATCTCATCGTCCGTCAGCCACTGATGACTGGGATCATTGTCGTCTTCAGCGAGCCATTCCTCTGGTCTCATCCACTACGCCATCCTGATAGCCCAACTCCTCAAACATGGTCTGAAACAAGTTTCTTTCCACATTGTCTTCTTCATTTCTTTCTTCACTCTCGGGTTCATCAAGCAGTTTGTTCCAGGCTCTCCGTAGGTTTTGCTCTGTTGCATCATCCCGTGATTTCGCGATCCAATGCACCGCATCTTTGATGGTGAGACTCTTTATTACTTGTGGTATTGGAGTGTCCCCGTGGAATAAAATGTGGCGAAGAAAGCTCTTCTTGTAGCGTCCCTTCATTGGCTCTAGCACACCTTGATCCATCGGCTGAATTAGGCTCGTTGTATTTGGGGGCTCTGCTTCTTGTGGATGTGCTGGCGCATTATCAAGAAGCAATACGATTTTGTATGGAATGTTCTTCTCCGACAAAATCGTCTAACAAAAGGAACAAACTTATCATTAAACCATTTCTTGAACACAAAGGCGTCCATCCATGCATTATGTTGACTGTAGTAATGGACGGGCAAATCTTCCATGTTGTCATGTTTAAAGCAACGGGGCTTTGCTGATTTGTGAATGAAAGCAAGAGGAATCTTGCAAGTTCCAATTGCGTTTGCACATCCAAGGACAGTTACTCTGTCCTTCGCCATCTTAAAATTCTTTGCTGTCGTTTCCCCATGGAGCACCAATGTTCGATTGGGCATCAAGTACCACCAGAGCCCTGTCTCGTCAGCATTAAATAGCTGGTCTCTCGTAAGTCCCTCCTCCGCTATTATCTTCTGTAGTTTTGTCTTAAATGAAGCGACTGCGTCGGTGTTTGCTGAAAGGCTCTCACCCTGCAAGGTTACCGATCTGCTTGCATGCCTTCCTTTAAATCGTGTAAGCCATCCATTGCTTGCCTTAAATTTATGATGCGAGTCAGGATAGAGTTCCTTAGCGAACATCAGAGCCTTTTCTTGCAATAGAGGTCCAGATATGGGTGTCCCCTTCGCACGCTGTTGTTGCATCCACGTGTAGCACGCTGTGTCGATCTGGTCGAACGTTGCTTTTTAACGTAGGATGTATTCAGACAGAGTTGAGGCACATCTGCTGTTGAAACGTGCTGTTCTATTTTATGTCTCTTTGCCCATATCGTCAAGACAGTTGATTTAGGTAAATCAAATTTCAATGCAACTGCTTGAGTTGAAAATCCCCGTTTTCTCTCCTCGATAATCTTGATCTTTGTATCCAAAGTTATACACTTTCGAGTTTTGATAGGTGCCATGCTTTTCTCTAAATTTGCAATGATCATCTGAGTTAAAATTATAAATCGAACCTAAACGTGATTGTAGGCCTATATGCTACGTGTGAAATTTATTTGAATATCATTGGTTAAAATATATTTGGTAGGTGGGTTAATTACGAAGATTATTTTGTCTTTTCATATTACGTAAGAGTTAGGGCTAAGACACACATGATTTATTCAGTGAACAATGTTCGTAAACAAACTTGAAAGTGAATAGCATTCACTTTCAAGATTGTTTAC